ATCAAACTTTAGATTGCCAAAATGAAGCCACCTTCTTGACTTTGTCGTTTTTACTATTTTTCCCCATTTAATGGTGAGCAATTCTATTTCAGATGCTGTTTTTAAATGTTCAATGCATCAAATCATCCATGTAAAGGAGGTGGAATAGGCTGGCAGATGTTTTTTTTATGTTTGATAGTCATGGTCTGAGTTATTCAATATTGTTGACAGAGGAATCAATGCAATGACAAACAGTAGTGGTGATAGTGAGTCTCCTTGGAAGATTCCTCTCTTGATATTAACCTATCCCAATTTATCACCATTGACCAGCAACCGTGTCTTCCATTGTACCACTGATCTTTGTACAAAGCTTCTGATGTTTCTACCGACTCCTGTTATTTCTAAGTACTTGATTATCCAATCATTTGGCAGGAAGTTGAATGCCTTCTTATAATCAATTCAAGCTACAGTACATTTAAGTTGATCTTCCTTTTCTTGAAGTTTTCCAAAATTATCTTGTCAATTAGGAGTTGATCTTTTGTTCCTTTGCCCATGATGGCGAATCTATGACATGCGTGCCAGAAGTGGCATGCAGAGCCATCTCTCCGGTTATGCCAGCTGTCACCCATTTTTCTTCCAGGTTCTGGGCAGCTAGTTTTCGCGCACACGGGAGCATTGGAAACCAGAAGAGCAGCTCCCTGGCGCACATGCACGCACTAGGAAGGTGAGCTTCTGGTTTCTGGCACGCACATGCGCGCCAGCCAGTTGGTCTTCGCGAGCACATACGCGCCAAAAACTGGAACACCAGGTGACCGGCATGTATGCGCATGCACACACTGGAAACTGGAAGCTCAACAAGCTCCACATGCATGTCGGGGAACTGCTCTTCCGGTTTCTGGCACTCCGTGCGTGCGCGGCGGGGAGCTGCTCTTCCAGTTTCTGGTGCTCCCCCATGCACGCATGTGTAGTCCCATTTTGGCACTCAGTGCCGAAAAGGTTCGCCAACGCTGTCCTATGCTGTTTGGGCGGTTTCCTTTTTTCTCATGTAAAAAAAGCTTGTTTTCAACTAGATGCTATAAGACTGCATCAGCAATCTTATACACTAGTTAGTAATTTGAAAGTTGTTGGTAAGCAAGTAATTGGCCTGAAGTTGCCTGGTACTGCCTTTTGCTGGCTCATTAATTATCAGGTAGGTTTTGTCAGATGTCAGCCACTCTTCTATTTGACCTCCTTGCAGTATTTTGTTAAACTGCTTGGCAATGAGTGGTTGTATATCAGTCAGATATTTCCACCAAAAACCATGCAGTTCATCTTCACCTGGTGCTGATCAATTCTTGATCTTCCTTGCCTTGTTCGCCACCATTTCTGCTGTTATTACAAGTTCTTTCATTTCAGCTTCTTTTTTATTCTTATCCATCTCTTTTAAACAAGCTGCGTCCTTGTGGCATTTCTTTGGGTTAACTAGAACTGCACTGTTTCTTTCTTGTCAGGTGTTGACTGATTCATTGCATACTTTGTTGTTGTTTTGTTGTTGTTTGTATCCCACCTTTATTATTTTGAGCTCTGGTGGTGCAGTGGTTAGAATGCAGTATTACAGTCTAGCTCTTCCCACAATCAGCAATTCAATCCTGAGGGGACTCAGTTTTCTATCCTTCCAAGGTTGATTAAATGAGGATCCATATTCTTGGAGGCAATATGTGACATTGTAAATCACTCAGAGTGCTATAAAGCACTATGGAGCAGTATATAAACCTAAGGGCTATTGGTATTTTACAAATAACTCAAGGCAGCAAACATATTCATACCTTCCTCCTCTTATTTTCTCCACAACCACCCTGTCAGGTGAGTTGTGTTGACAGAGTGGCCCAAAGTCACCTAATTCAATTTCATAATTAAGATCGGACTTGAACTCATGGTCTCCCACTTTCCAGCCTGGTGCCTAGACCAAATTGGCTCTCCCTAATGTATTTATGGTAGGTTGGCTTTGGAGATGGGTTGATCACTTCAACTGATCCAGAATCATGGTTGCATGTTTCTTGTCCCAAATCCGATTTGTAGCAGTTCTCATTTTGTACAAGATTCATTACAAAATGTTGGTTGTCACCTTTAAACCTAAGTGCATCAAAGTTCAGGTACCTAATGGACTGCCTGTTACCAGAAGAGCCATCATTTAGTCAGCTGACACCTTTGTTCTTAATAATGCTAAGCAGTTCAGTCCAATGTCAGTTGAAAATCTGTCAATGAGATTTCCAAAAAAGAAATCTTATTGCAAATAAAATTTGTGAGTACGATCATCATCATGATTAAGAACTATCTAAGAGGACAGTTTGGTTCTTTTATGTTTTTCAGGAACCAGTTCTTGGACTATTGTCTCTGCTCTGCCTTTGATTTCTCACTTGCAATTCAATCTCAAGTAGCAAACTACTCCACAGAGATAGGATACAAATGCAACAAAAAAGTAATTGCTATTGTTAGGGTTGATGTATGTCTTTACTTACGGTTGTAACTTTGTGGGGGTTGTCTTTATGTTTTCTGGTTTCAATTTTTAGGAGGAGCTTCCCAGAGAGCAGAACTACTGCTATAACTAATTATATGCAATCTACACAGATGTAGAATTGCTTTTGCTGCAGTGCTTGAAACTTAGGCTGGTTAGAACACAACACACTTAGCAAAAGAAATCACATTATGGTTTATGGTAGAGTGTGTGAATCCAGTCTTGATTCAAGAGAGAATGGGAATATAATTTCCAATTTGTGATATTTTTACACACTCATTTCCCTACTTTTTACTCTGGAAAAAATGCTTTTACATGTTTTTCTCACTAACTTTTCTTCCACAAATGCAGAGACCACCCACCCACCCACCTTTTTTATATATATATAAACTGAAAGTTGATCAATTGGTTGTGACAGGAATTGAACAATCAGCTTCTTGCCCAACATTGTTGGCTGAGAGAGAGTGAGGCACAGAGCTGGCTTTCATGCAGTAAGGCAAGATTAAAATTCAGTCTCCTGGTTTCTAGTTTGCATCCTTAACTAGTTTTCTCCTTTTTCCATATTATTTTTAAGAGACGGTATAGATCCACACAAACCTTAGATTTTGATATGTTCACCATATAGCCATACTTGTTTACATAGCAAACATGCTCTAGTGAATTTCCTACGTTTAATTATTTTCACAACTTTATTTAGCATCCTGTTCCCAAAATCAGAAATTAGCATTAGTTTTTCATGGATTACTCTTTTTACTAGCATCTCCATGGCCTAGTTGCATTTTAAATGTATAAACTAGGGTGCATAGTTGAAGTCTTTCGAATTAAAGCAAGTAATCATAAGGATATATGAAACATGCCTTTACTTCATTAAAGTTTATCAAAAACCTAGATAACGGATCCTGGCCTGAAAATGATCTAAAATGCTCTACTATTCTGTCCTACTTCCCTGAGGGCTTCACCATAAATCTGTGAACCAGTTTGGTCTTACAAACATTGGGGCTGGCCAAAGGGGAATTTAATAAATCAGATTACTTTATTCATTTTTTTATTTATTCATTTTTTTTAATAGTGGCCCAACTCAACCAAGTGACTCTGGTTTATTTATTTGAAATGTGCCCTCTTGATTTAAGAAGGAAGCTCTTGTAGGGAGTGGAACTAGCATGATGCAAATTCAGACAGTGACCTGGTGTACAAAAAATAGAAAACCATTTTCTTTGAATTGAACTTGGTGATATGGCCTGGCCTGATTGGACTTTTAAGCAGGCAAAAACTGAATTCCCAAATATTATGGATATTTGTAATGCAATCAGCAGTGGCCATGGAGCTTTAAGATGCACTTATGATGACATAATACACCACTGCTGCACAATTCAAATCAAGTGCATCAAGAAAGATTCTGGTGGTTCCAGACTGATAGCTCCTAGAACTTCCAATCACTGTGCTGGTAGTCTGTCTTTTCCTTCTTAGTTGATTTCTGCAGTAAGAAAGGGAAAAGAATCAGCAGGAAAACATGGAAGAATGATACACACGGACAGTGATGTCAATTGGGCCTCCATGAAAATATATGAAGGACATGGGACAACTTGTTTGTCTGTCATCCTGAAATACCCTCCATGGTTCTGGATCTCTAGATTTCAGGGAGATCCACAATCTGCAAAATGCAAAAACCCTTATTAGCGTCTTCGGAGACTTAATTGCTATAATGTTTTTTGCTTTTTTTTAAACATCTCTCCACAGTAGATCCACTTGGGAACCAACTCTGCAATTTAAGGCGGCCTGAGAATGTTATGCCGACGGTTGCTCAGGGCTGGAGACTTGAGGGGCACAGAGAGTCTTGCAAATATTTGTAGGACGTGTCATTCATTGCCTGTGTGGAAGTTGGCTTGAAAAACCCCTCCCGGGGTAGGGACTGGGTCAGAAAGGCACCACCGGGACGGGGCAGGAGGCTGGTGCCGCCTGACGGACGGACGGACGGGTGGGGGACTCGTCAGGCCCTGGGAACGCTGGGCTTGAGGCGGCCGGCCGGCCGGGCGTGTCTCCGGCGTGGCAGGAGAGACTCCAAGGGCTGTGAATAATCGGGCTCTGACTTGTTTGGGGGGAATCAGCAGCTGCTGGTAATCATTCTGCTCGGAAAAGACGGAGGGAGCGACGTCTGTCGAAAGGAGCATCTTGCTAGCTAAGCGGGTTGCGGGGTTTCAGGGCGAAGAGGGTGACGAAGGCGCGCGAAGCGGACGAAAAATCCTCAGCCGTCCTGGGTGGTGCGGGCGACGGAGTCCAGTCCGCAGTTTCCGTCTCTCCTCAGTAGTCTTCGTCTCTGGCAGCGGCGGAGGGCGGAGAGACCAGCGCACGGAACAGCCAGTTGTTTAAAATCCTTCTAGAACCGTTTCTAATTCCCCCTTGCGCCGGGGAAGGGAGAGCGGGAGGGGGAGGAGGAGCCGGAGGCTGGTGGGGGGAGGCAGCCAGCGGAGAGGAGGAGAGAGAGCAGCCTGTCCTGGTCTCTGCGTGTCAATCACAGGGCGGAGGTGTGTCCGAGCTCGCAGCGGGCCAATGGCGTGTGTGTGTGGCAGCGTCTCCATGGTGACTGGGCTGTTCCTGGGGAGGCTGTGATGGGTTGACAGGTGCGTGACAGTCGGAGCTCTCTGCAGGCATGTACGGCAAAGGCAAGAGCAACAGCAGCGTCCCGTCCGACAGCCAGGCCAGAGAGAAGTGAGTACAGCCCGCTGGACCGCACAGCCTGACTGGGCGGGGAGGTGGGCGCGCATACGCCCCGCACAAAGTAACTTTACCGCTTATGAGAGAGGGGGCCTCGCTCGAGACCGGGGAGCTTCACCCCGACGCGGGAAAGAAGAGGAGATCGAAGAGGCGGACGGGGGGAAAAGCTACAAGTCGGGGTGTAGAGTGGAGGGTATGCGCGACGCTGCCGAGCCCGGGGAGAGGAGTGCGCCGGACCCGGTTCGGGAGGCGGGGGAGCGGGTCTCGGGCGCTCTTTCCCGCGTGGGCTGGGAGCAGGACAAGATGGGACGTGTCTACTGCGCTTTTCTTGTGCTGCAGATGGCGAGGAAAGACTAGCTGGCTGGGTCTGAGCGGGGAAAGTGGTTCCGACAGACGGCGTGGTGCCTGGCTCCGCGGGAGGGCAGAGTCGGATTAGCGCGGAGGCTCAGGGTCCTCTCCCCGTGTTTTGGTTTTGTTTCTCCCTGCCTTCACCTCCGTGGTTTATGGTGTCGCTTTGGGGGAGGGGGGGAGGGGAGAAAATGGTGTTGGAGTAACTTTGGTAACAAAAGAGTCCTTGCCTTGGGCTCGTGTGAAGCTTCCGCTGGAGGGAAAGAAACAAAACCCTCAACTCCGCGACACTCAACTCTCTTCTTCTCCCGCCCTGCCCACCCCCAAGAGCCAGGGTCTTTTTCACCCCCTTCACCTTTTTTGCTACAGATCCGTAGCTCTTGGCTTTGGGTCTTATAGGGATAAGGAGCTGCGTGCATTTCAAAAATACGACGAAGTAGTTGGTAGTTTCTTGTCTTTCAAGGGCCTCGCAGGAAGAAGGGCTGTTGGTGGAATCGCGATTGTGGAGGGGAAAATGTGAAATCGAACTGTAAAGCGAAAGAGGAGATTTATTAATAAGCAGTTGGGTCTGAGCTTGGAGAGGATTTGGAGATAATCCTGGGGTGGTAGACGTGTTAATAGCGGCGGTGAATGGGAAGCCCTTTAGAATATTGATAAACATACATTCTCCATTTACAAAAAAGTACTTAATTTCAATGCAATAATAATTTCCTCAATTACAAAAAAAAACCCCATCAAACTTTTAAACTAAGCATGAAGTCGTATGGGAAAACATGAAAAAAATATTTAGATAATATTTGCTAACAATAATTTGCTATTTGCTGTAATGTTTGACTGTTACTATAATAAAGAATCCAACCAAACGATTAGATTAGAAACTAATATGATAACATATTATTTAGTAAGCAAATGTAAAATACCGTTTTTGTATATTAAGTTTGTTTGTGAATTAAAGTTCTGTTAAAAGTTTCAGTTTTCACAGTGTTGTCAGTTGTAGTTACAACTTTCATTTTCCTCACTGAAAATAGAGGAACACACAAGAGAGTTGCTTATGAAGGTTTTTTCTTTCTTTTTTTCTTTCTCTTTTTTGGTTAGGATGTGCCCAGAAGAATCAGAAATTATTTACTGCATATTTTCTGAAGAGACTTCAGTAAAGTAGTGTATTAGATGCAGGATGAAGTGATTGAGTTACAGATATCTCTTCAGAAACGATTTGATATATGTGGCCTTTTAAAATGTCATTGTCCGTAACTTTGGAACTTTTATACAACATGAAAATTAATGTGCAAAGCAAGATTGAGAGTTTCTCTTGAGGCACTTTGAATCTTCACCTAAAGATTGTCTCCTCTATAACATTCTGAAAAGGATAGTTACTTCCTGATTCCAAAGACAAAGAAGTATGCCAAGTGATTTGCCCAATATTTTATATTGGCACAGAAAGCATACAAAGATAGGGACTGAAAACTAAATTTTGAAACAGAAATTAATGAATATTTAAAATTTAAAATAGTGAATCACATAAAGCTAAATAACTATACAATACTGTATATGTAACAAAAACTTGTATCTCTTGGGATAAAACTCACCATACTCCTGATCGTTATGTGTTCTTTGACAATTCATACATTGCATTAACTCTAATTAATGAAAGCCTGATTGGAAACAAAAATAAAATTACCATTTTGGGTGAATCTTTGTATAGAATTTTTATTTTATTGGCATTCTTTAAAAAAATCTACATTGTCTGAAATACTGTAGGACTTGGTCAGTATATAAGGTAAACTGAGCTGCTATCAAGTAAGGAATACCCTTTCGTGTGAAGTTAGGGGAACTGCTAGATGGTGCTGTTTGATCTAAATACATCCCTCGCCCCATTATTTACAGTTTGCTATAGTGGTCTTGTAGGGCTTTTTCTCCTGAACTTAAAATAAAACAATATTTTAAAATGATAAATCAGAGATGCTTATGTAAGCAACTTAGAATTGGAGGGGATGCTTGTGTCTGTCAAATTGAATAATATAAACAATAAAATATATTGTTGTTAAATCATTTATGTAAAGTTGTTCTTTTATTGTCTTATTTTTTCAATATGTCTGAGCATAAAGTCCTTTCCACCCCCCTTTTAGGGCTAAAGTTGTTTCTTCAGAATTTGTAGAGTTCAGGGGAAGGAAAATAATACAATTCTAATTTTTTTATAAATACATGACCTGAGCCTCTTCAGATATAATTAAGGATTTGAGAATGGTACATTCTGGTTTAACTTTTTTAATTGCTAGAAAAAAATACTGTGTCTACATGTTTCTGGATTTTTTTTTTAATGTAAGTAGGCTCAGGCTCTGTATAATGGTGGCAACTAGTCTGTTTAAGGATTAACATCCATTTGTCTACAGAGGTTATATTTATTTAAGCGAATCCATTATTAAAAGGGGTGATTATACAATTTTAAGCATGTTTATGCAGAAATAAATCTCAGTTTTAATAGATCTTGTGCATACATTATTTTTTGGATTCTAGCATGGCTGTTTGGATGCTAAAGAATTTATGTTAAAAAGTAATAGATATTTCCTTTTACCAGTGAGAATACATTTTGGCTAGTCCAGCTTTGGTAAACTAATATATACTGTAGCAATTATATAGACAAGAACAGTTCTGCAGTGTGAAATTGATCTAAAACTAAATGTTCATGTTGTAAACTTGTTGATGATGAAGACTTAGCTGCTTATAGTTAAGATTGTATGCTTAAATATTGAATTAAAGATGCAGTCAATTTAACTTCATACATTTAATTATTCACTCTCAGACATGTCTTGTGTTTGTGTATCTGTGATACTTATTCCAGGAAGTATTCAAACCCACATTAATTGGATTTTTACTCTGAAAAATGTGTTATATATATTTGGCCACTGTTGCAAATTTTCTTGAAGTACAGAATAGGAAGCTCTTATCTACAAATTATAGTAGCACTTGTAACATTCCATGTTTGTTTTCTGATTTCTTGCTAAAATTCATACTTGCATTGTTCTGGCAATCTAATTGATTCAATGGAGGAATTTAGTGTGTTGGAGAACACCAAGGCGAGGGGTCATCTAACCTCGAAAATTAAATTTAACCAAAAATGATCCAGAGAGTTAAAGTAACCCCTCTCCTCCTGGGATCACCTGTAGAAGTTGTAAAATTAAGATAAAATTTTCATAAATGTCTAGACTTCATTATAATAGTTACAATGAACTTGTCCATTATTTCAGACAGCAGTCAGCAGAAACTTGATCTGCTGTATCCAAAGTTGACTAAATGGGGATCTATTAAATTGAGGGTTTGCTGTAATTTGTGCTTTCACAGAAACCCTAAGATTGCTGCCAAATTTCTATAAAAATGCTTTAAAAGATCTGTTTCATTTTAATAAATACTTAGATTAGATTTTGTGTAGGAGGCCTGTGGAAAAGGCTCTGACTGCTAATCAAATAAATGAAAATCTGGCCACAGGGAACATAGTTTAAGAAATGCAGAAGTGTTGTGTCTGCATGCTCTATGCTCATGCAGCTGTTTTTGTCTTTCTATTTCACCACATTCCGATTAAGTAAATACATGTTCAATTAATCCTTGGTCTTTATTCAAAGCCAGACATTTTCATTACTAGGACTAAAACAAGCAAATTCTGTATTTAATGTAAAATACTTTCTTGTTTAGATTGTCATAACTATAATTCCTTGTTGCACAGAAACAGTAGTTATGTCAAGGTTTATGAGGTAATTGTGGTCTTTCTAAGGGACAATGACAGAGGAAGGACTTACTTATTAGATATATTTCCCATCTTTCATTCAGGAGCTCAACATGACATACCTACACTGTGTTCTTCTTTTTGTGCCATATCCGTCATTGGACGTTGGTGAACTTGTTGGCAATTCTATTTTTATTAACAGCAGTATGAAAAAGTGCTGTTCAGTTTTGGCCAAACCAGCCCCATAGATTTTGAAGCCATGATGTTCTTTTGCCTGGACCTTGTTTGCCTTCAATCTTTCCTTGGAGGATTAAGTGAAGTATGCTGTATTTTTCTGGGTGTTGCATCACATGACCCAAATATTGTAATTTTCCCTTTTTTATGGTTTTGATGATTTCCCTTGGCTTTCCTAGGCTTTCCCAGGTGGCTTATCACCTCATTTCTGATTGGTCAACCCAACTTATACATAACAGATATACTGTATGCACAATTTTATTAGGCAAGTTGTATTTTGGAGGATTAATTTTATTATTGAATAACTACAGTGCTCTCGGTCAATCCAAAATGTTAATAAACATCAAACCTGAATATGTAAGAAAGTGAGGTTTTGAGTTTCTTAGGAGAATATCTATGTGTGCACAATTATTGGAAAACTATTAGTGTGCAGAATTATTATGCAACTAAATGAAAAATAAAAATTTGCTCATCTCACTTATGAATTTACATCTGTTAAATGAGAATAATAAACAACCAACTCAAAATGTACAAATAAACATTTCTGACATTAAAAAAAAATATTAGTGACCAATATAGCCACCCTTCTTTTCAATAACAGTTATAAGCCTTCCATTCATGGAGTTTGTCAGTTTCTTGATCTGTTGATAACCAACATTTTGTGCAGCAGTAACCACAGCCAGACACTGTTCAG